TGCATGATCAATCATGGGTCCATTCGTGGGCAGCCGATGAGAAACTGCCCAGTGACATTCTAACAAAATCCGATTACATAGCAGCGCTCGGCACACTTGTTGCGACTGACGGCTGGCTGAATAGCGTCCGCCGCGTGGTCAGGCGAGTGGCGTGGCCGCGTGGCCGCATGGGCGCGTTGCCTCGCCTGGGGCGATGGCTGACCCGGGCCGGGGCGAGCTGCGCTAGCTCGTGATCGGTCGCCGGCCGGGGTACGCGCGAGGTCACCTCAGGCCCGAGCGATTGGTCGGCGGGCAGAGTGCGCGCGAGGTCACCTCAGGCCGAGCTATTGGTCGGCGGGCAGAGTAAGCGCGAGGTCACCTCAGGCCGAGCTATTGGTCGGCGGGCAGAGTACGCGCTAGGTCACCTCAGGCCAAGCGATTGGTCGGTGGGCAGAGTACGCGCGAGGTCACCTCAGGCCGACACTCCATGCTTCGCCTCATTCCTTCACAATAATTCGCGCGGTTTTCGTGGGCTGCGGGAGATCATCACGCATCATAGATAGTGCATTACAGATGACGGGTCACAGGTCACAAATCGCAGATCTGAGATCACAGATCACAGACCACGGGTTACGGTGACATATCGCAGATCACTTGCCTTCGCTTCAGCCACAGGCGTTTGGGTGCCGATAGTGGTTAACGCTTCTGCGTCAACCACTACGCGTCTGGAAAATCAGGGGAATGGGATTCAGTTCCCCGCGGTGCCCGTCTTTCCTGTATGGGTGAGAAGCAGTCGACCTCATATAGCCCCAGAATCTGAGCGTGTTGTAAAGCATCAATGACACACACAGCCACACGTGCATCAAAATGATTTAACGGCAGAGCTTGACACTGGTGATGAGTGGTCATCATCGCTGCAATCACCGTTAAGTGATAACATTTGTGAAATGGTGATGGGAGCAGTCAAGCCCACTTGTCAGTGGACTGGTTGAATCATCATCCAGTATTCTGGGACCCGGCGACTCATCGGTTGTTATTTGGGACGTGTGGGGAGGCGGCCGTGGTGTCTCGGCACCCGGTCAACTTCAAGGGAGCGTTCCACATTTGCATTGGGTTTTGAACTATACTAACCGTCTTGGAGATCACTCGGTGCAGTTCGGAGCCCTGCCCTTCTTAAGACATAAATATTTCTATTTGCCGAGCTGCATGCCCACGAAGACGCGCAAACTATTTCGAGTAGACTTTTTCGAGGTCACCCAGGTTTCCATGATGTCATAATTATGTTATTGACATTCTGCCATTCTATTGGCCATGCAGCGATCAAGGTCAATCCAAATTTAGTTGTCGAGTCGTTCAAAGGTGGTGATGGTGAGCGCGATTTCCAGATATATCGGCCGTCAACTGGTTCTCAACCATTGCTGCGCAAGGTATGATGGCGCAATCAAACAATGACGTGTGGAGGAACATATTTCATAGAAAGAGATTGTGCTGTCAAGCGCGGTCTTTTTTCTTAAAATGACATCAATAGATATAAAGTGATTTTATTTCATCATATTCTATGCTGGCTTCAATATTTTCAAACGTGGAACATTCCCATTAAGCTGAGCCCCGTAGCCCGTCACAGAGACGCAAGAAACGGGGCCTCGTCCATACGAGCTTTGCGTTATGCAATGCGTGCGGCTCAGCTGCCTCCTTCATATAGTTGGTTACGGTTTTCCTCGCCGTGGAGGCACCGGATCATCAGCAGTTCAGCCTGGTCTCGACGGTCTCGCCCCTGAAGAGTTCGCGATACCCAGCGGCTGCTGAGGGTGCTGAGGTACTCAGCTCTGGGAACCCATGGGCTGCCGAGTGGAAGACTTTTCTTTTGCCCCTCATTTTTTCGCTTTCCCTCCCATCCATTTCATTTTCACGTCTCTCGCCCAATGAACTCCAATGTTACGTTCCTGGTCCTACCACCAGCCAGCCAACCCAGTCCTACTTCACCAAGGGCAACGCCACGGATTCTGAGTTGGGGCATTGTTGTCCAGGGCCGATCTGGACAAGATGGGGCCTGTTCGCAGGCGGCATTCTGGGCAGAGTCGTATTCAAGGGGGGGGGGGAGGAGGCATCAGGGCTATGTGGCCCCTTACTGAATTGTTCCGTGCTTCACCATCCTTTGCATATACTTCATTGTCAACAATGATAAAATCCGAATAGGGAGCTTATAACGAGTGCATTGGGCTTCCAGGTCCGCGAAAGGGCTTGGCACAGGATCTCCTTTCCCGTGCCAGAGCCTCCTAATTCAGAACAGCATCATTCCAACTCACAAAGAGGGCATCCAAATCCAACAAATACCACATCATTCCCGAATTGGTCACCCTGACTCAGAACAGTGGCCTTCTTTGACATAAAATGGGCGTACTTCTACAGAGTAGGGCCTGCTGATGTGTAGGGGGGCCTCCTCATCCGTAACGGGGCCCTCCTAATATATAAATGGGATCTCGCGAGTCAGCAACTAGCCTCTCAACGCAAAAGCGGTCTTATGTTAATTCAGAACACGTGACTCCTCACCCTGGCAGGAACGGCGGGCATCGAGGAGAGTCGGGCCGTGTGCCTCTGGCTTTCCGGTGCTCATCTTAACCGCCGCGCTAAAATGTCCCGAGAGTGCCTGGGTAGTGCCGAGGTTTTTCGTGTGCTGAAGGGACTTTTAAATGCCAGGCGGGCCCTGAGTAACCATGAATTCCCTGAAGTGGCCGAGTGCCCGTGGTGGTTTCTTGAGGTTCATTTGTCCATAACAATGGCCTCAGGATGGCCAAGTGGAGCCTAGTGAGCAGGCAGAAGATAGCGAACTCTACTCATTCCGCGCAGCCGCCTTTCTTGCAAGAGGGCTTCAGGCGATCTACGAGCGATCGATCAAGGGTACGAGCGATCTTGAGGACAGGAAATGATCTTGAAAATGGTTTTCCCCGCTCAAAACTCCTTATAAATGTGGAAGAGTCCTTTTAACACGGAGAAGAATGCGTGCGTACATTTAGACACCGGTGGCTGCAAGTCTGAAAGTGTTTCCTGCAGGGTGTGTCGTTATTGTTGGCGACTGAACAAAGTGTTTGACATTGTCCCAGCGCTGCTCGATCTATATTGGCAAACTGTGTACAATGAGACGCGTTTTTTGAGCATAGAAACGCCGGGTGAAGTTTTTTATTTCGCCGGACTCTCAGAGCGGCATCTTATTAGCTATTGAACATATCATAACTGAGCATTCCCTAGCAGATGAAATCTTCCAGCAGGTGGTAGTTTTTGAGAGAGCCGAAAAACAAGTGGTCTTTGTTTGCGTACCTGAACACATTGGACTGGTTGGGAAGGACAGAACCGACGCTGCTGTTAAAGATGGCCCTTAACATAGCCCTCCACCTCGCTCTGACCAAGCACCGCACTCGGACTTCAAACGGTTGCTATCTGCTCGTCTGGCAAGGAGGCTGGAGACACGCTCGGGATCAGATGGGCACAGATGGATACCATGGCAACGCGAAACAAACGCTGGGTGCTAAATGACACGGTGGTTGGCTGGCCTCTAACCGTGGCAACAGAAAAAAGGTCAGTCCGTCTCCACCGCATCGGCCGTGCCAAAGACACTCACGGTTTTCTTACGTCAGGAAACCAAGCGCCAGTGGGCCTCGTTGTGATCTCCTACTGGCAGCTGCCCGTGGGCTCCTGCAGTGTCGTCACCTGTGATCCCCCACTGGCAGCTGCCCGTGGGCTCGTGCAGTGTCGTCATCTGTAAGCTGAGCCTCAACGCTGCCCCGGGGCTTACACACGGCGAAGGCTGCCCCTGGTCCTTCATTGGGCCAGAACTAATATTTTATGCCACGGTTGTATGAGGCTCTATGAAGCACATGTTTTCAAATAGGCTGCTCATCTGTGTCATGCTCCGCGACAGTGTAGGGCTTCAGCAATCAGCTGTGATGCCTATTTAAGGCCGGATGGCTTGGAGCGCTTAGCGCACTGTCCATGCATGAGCTGAATCAATAAAGATTGCGGGACATATTAGTATGTGCATGCCCGCTACAGTTGACGGGCCCCTAAAGCTGGAATGCTTCTACTTCTTTTACAATACCTGCATCATACGGCTGGGTATGTGCACACATTCAAGTCCATGCGTTCTAAGCTGTCCAAGGTATTTCCAGCATTCCATATGTTCACAGCTTGAGTCATTGTGTTTTGTTTGCACTGCTTGTGTAACAATGTTGCGAATTAAGAAATACACAGGAATGTACCATTCCAGGGATCCCAGGGTTACGAAGAATATTTGGGCTAACATAGTTATGTAGCGTAGCAGATTTTTTACGTCAGCCATTCTGTCACGCGGAAGTGATGCTGCATAGACGTTTTTGCGCTGAAGTTTTTGCCGCGTAGAAATGCACGCGTTAGGACCTCCTGCTTGGGAAGTTCGTCACATAGAAAACTGCATTCGAAGTTGCCAAGCAGAAGGTCAACGTCGATTTCAGGTGGTGCCGCATAGCAGCTTTCGCGTCAAAAGTTTTGTCGCGTAAGCGTTTATGCATTGTGAATAATGACGCGTAGAAGTCCTGTCATGGAAGTTCTGCCGTTTGCAGGATTTGTATTACAACTGTCGGTTTGTTTTGTCGACTCCATCCTAAATGTCAGTAAAAGGGAATACGCTACTCCAAACGGCGCATCGTTGCAGCGCTCTGTCAACGAACGAGCCTCGCGTGGCACATGCGTTTGGCTATACCAACAGCGTTTGGGCGCTTTCCTCCAGTCAAGCGTTCTTCGACCCCCGCCCCCCCCCCCACGCGGTGCCGCCACGTGCCGCCACATGACGCCCCTCCCTTCCCCGGCTGGCGCACCCATCCCCAACTGTCACCCGTCCCCGCCCGGTCCCAACGGTCGCCCGGTCAGTCATCGCAGCTTGAAGGCCGCCGACGGTCAGTTCTCGCCCCACTAGCGCACGTAGCGGCCAGGTGCTGAAGCACGCGCGGAAGCGTTGCGGGCGGACCGCAGATACGTCGCGATTGCCGGGCGGGCCGTTGGGGCGCGTTACGCCAAGATGGCGCCGCGGCACAAAGCGGCGCGAGCGCCGGCGGTTTGGCTGTGTGCTGTGGCTGTGTTGTGCGTGTGTGCCGCGCCTGCGTGCGGACAGCGGCTGTACGAGACCGCGCCGCAGCCCTCGTCACAGGACGCGTCAGCGACGGGCAGCGGGGGCGTCAACCGGGATCGATCCGGCGGCGATAGCGTGCCGCGCACCAACCGCTTCGGCGAGCAGCGCGCCGGCGATTCCGACACCGGCGAGACGCGTGTGGGGCCCAACTATGATCCGGGCAACAAGCGGTTCGGCGGCTCCAACCGCAACCCGTACAGGGGCGGCACGGGCGGCTATCGCGGCCGCTTCAGCTCGACCAACTTCGGCTACGAGAAGTACGACCCCAACCGCAAGGTGGAGGGGGAGGGCATCCTGGCCGGGTGGCGTCCGGACCTGCAGGGCGTGCGACGGCCCGAAGCCGCCTTCCTCAACCCGTACCTGCAGGTGCAGACCCGGCTGGGCCCCGTCAACGGCTTCGTCGTGCAGCTGTACGACCAGCCGGGCCTGCCCGAGGAGCTGTGGCCGGCCAACCTACAGCTGGAGCTGCAGAAGCACAAGCTGAACGTGTCGACTTTCCTCGGCATCCCGTATGCCCAGCCGCCAGTGGATGAGGGCCGGTTCAAGGTGAGCCAGCCGCCAGTCAAACTCGACATTGTAAGGCATGGCAATCCGATCGAGATCTCGTCGGTGCCAGACCGGTGTTTGGTGCTAATTTTGCCTTACTGGTTGCTATTTGCGGCCTTGTCTGGTGCCAAACGCCGGTGTTAGCGGTGCGACATGCCGAGTACTAACTGGTACGGTTGCAAAAAGACGAAGTCGTAGGGGTTTAGCTGCTGTAAGCTGTGGAACGACGGACGCGTTACAGTTGCCTGCGGTGACCGTATCACCGTATCAGCTCATTTGGGCGGCTTCTTTCCTTTAGCGCTTTTGATCAACACCTTTTTCTGCGGCGTTCGATCATTGGGACAGTTAGTCGCATTCCACTGACATTCAGTCGACATTTACTGAGCACTATCCAAGATACCATGCTTGGGCGCAAACGTGTCTGAAAACCCCGGTCACCGCCCAAACTTGTTAGTTTTTGTGATGCTGCCTGTTTCCTTAGCAACCCCTCGTGACGTTGGAAATTGATCCTGTGCTTGTATCGGCGTGGCCTAATGGGTGTACTACTTTTCCCACCTGGTGTTCCTTTACAAGACTGCGGGGCAAACATTTTTCCTGTCATTGGTACCGAGGCGTGTAACCCGAAATTTTCCGCAGGGGAAATGTGAACTTTTCTCCCAGATGTTTCGAATTTGTAACAAGGTCCCGCGAAATCGCTTGGTATCGATCGTAAGACTGTTAGGTTGGGCAGTAGAGAGGAGAACATCCCATGACCCTCCCTTGGCTATGTCCTTGATGGTGCTTATCGTCGAATCGTCGGGAGTCCTGGTGTTTTCTGTCACGTTGCCGGTCGCATTGTGCTCGGTGACCCCTGGCCAGGCTATTTTTAGCTGGTCGACTTCCGTCGCCGATGCTCGGGCGATTGCTGGTATTGATCTCCACCCTTGTATTGATGGTCTTCCGCCTGTCGACGCTCGGCGCCTGGTACACGGCGGGATAGCACCCTGTCGCTCTCCCGTGCTGCGCGGCACCGCGCCGCTGCCCCAAGCGCTCTGTCGACCCGCCGGCCCGCCGCCCCGAGTGGCTCCCACGCCCCCAGAGGTCGGTCGCCTCGACGAGCCGCTCTGAGACTCCAGTGCGTCCGGTCACCTGGGACCGGACGGCGACCAGGATCCCAGGGGTCCGGTCACCTGGGACCGGACGGCTACCACAACCCCAGGGGTCAGGTCACCTGGGACCGGACGGCTACCACAACCCCAGGGGTCCGGTCACCTGGGACCGGACGACTACCACGACCCCAGGGGTCCGGTCACCTGGGACCGGACGTCGACCAGGATCCCAGGGGTCCGGTCACCTGGGACCGGACGGCTACCACAACCCCAGGGGTCAGGTCACCTGGGACCGGACGGCTACCACAACCCCAGGGGTCCGGTCACCTGGGACCGGACGTCGACCAGGATCCCAGGCGTCCAGTCACCCGGGACCGGACGGCTACCACAACCCCAGGTGTCCGGTCACCCGGGACCAGACGGCTACCAGGATTCCAGGCGTCCAGTCACCCGTGGCCGGACGACTACCACCCCAGTGGTCCGGTCACCTGGGACCGGACGACTGCCACGATCCCAGGGGTCAGGTCACCTGGGACCGGACGGCTACCACGACCCCAGGGGTCCGGTCACCTGGGACCGGACGGCTACCAGGATTCCAGGCGTCCAGTCACCCGTGGCCGGACGACTACCACCCCAGTGGTCCGGTCACCTGGGACCGGACGACTGCCACGATCCCAGGGGTCCGGTCACCTGGGACCGGACGACTACCACGATCCCAGGGGTCCGGTCACCTGGGACCGGACGACTACCACGATCCCAGGTGTCCAGCCGCTGTCGGAGTGGTTTCGCGACTCCTGCGCGTCCGGTCCGACCAGCCCCTCTCAGGATTTGCCCTCACACGTGCGCCGAATGGCTGATACGTGCCCAGCCACGTGGCGGCCGTGCGCGGCGGACCGTCGCTCTCGCCGAGCTCAACGCTTACCGAGGCGTGCAGCCGCAAGGACACGCTGGAAAATGATGAAGCTGATTAAGGCACGAATGTGGTGAAAGTGACGCAGAATGCTAAGAGACTTAAATACTTATTGTGATTGCGTAATGAAAACCAGAAATGGGTCCTTAATGAATGTTTGGTAATTGAGAATGACACATGAGCTTTTGGACTAAAGTACGTCTATATCTGAATCATGGCCAATAATTCCCACCAGACACACATCGGCCGTCATCTGTGTCCGTTCTGTCCCGACTAAGGCGTATCGTTGAATTGCTAAATGAGACATGAACGAAACGGGCAGCATCCAATGGCGATGTCACATCCGGTGCTGGTGTCAGGTCTCGACGACTGTCATTCTACAAACGCATCGATTCCTTAGACCAGTGGCGTGGTAAGTAAACAACTTTTGCACCCATGCTTAGTGCACCAAGAGCACGTACATTAATGGCGCAGTGTTCTAGCAAAGCGTTTTTGTTCCAATATTTGATTGGTCATTTTAAAGACGATGTAGGCTCGGCGGCTCCGCATCTTCGTAAGTCGGTTCAAATGTGCTTCGCTTATAGCTAATGGCGTCCCGCTAGTGAATCGGCTGGTAGTAACATCGCGAGCGGGGTTAGGCTATTCACCCCTCGTTCATTTGCCAGAGTGGGTCGCGGGCATCCACGTTCCCCGGGCGGCCGTCCGGTGGACAGCGGAGGTTGGCCCCTGGGCTGCGCACACAAAGCCGTAGCTGTGCTGACTGGGCCGAACGGGGCGGTGGGGAAGGGGGGGGGGGGGGGGGAGGGAGCGCGGCGGGCGCCGGGCCGCGTGGTGGTGACCGCCGCCGCCGCCGGCGTTCCCCGATCGGTCGCTATCGCCACCGACAGGCGCTGGACAGGCGGCAGCTGGACGGCCAGCCGGACCCTATTACCGGAAGTGGTCTCCCGTGCCCGCCCTCTCCCCAGCCGCCACCGCTGCGGCACGCTCGCTTCCCTCCCCTCCCCCCTCCCCCCCCCCCGCCCATGACCGGGGTGGAAGGGGTCACCGTGGGGGCAGGGCGATGTGGCTGAACGCCAGCTGATAAACGGCATTCAGGGTTCCACTGTAGCGCCCGAAGTCCAAAATATAAATTGCCGTCATCAGAGATGACCCAGATACTGTCGTATGCATACAGTTACTGCATACACCCGCCTGAGTTTTTCAGTTTCCATTGACTTGGGCACACATTGGAAAACCACACCGAAGGCGGCGTGTGTTGTCTGTACCTGGCGCGACGGTTATACACTGAGCGCGCGATCACGGTTTGAATTGTTGTTCGTGACTGATGGTAGATCAAATAAGCAGACCCAGTGATCAGTCAACATTTGACAAGGGGTACGCCGGACATCTCGGTAGGACCATGATGCCAGCAGCTTTAGTACCAACGGAACATGGCTGTCGGATGGCCTATGCTGGAGCGACGCTTTTACCGACGGTCCGGACGCGGGAAAGATCCGCTGCTCTAGAGGGATGCCATTCTCGACGCCGGACGCGTCCCCGCCGTCGGGTCCCCCGTGCGGCGCAATCACCGCCAGGAGGCGCCGCCATTGAGCCATTGAGCGCAGCCGGGCGTACGTGGTGCGCGCCTCCGCACTTTTCCAGAGGGATTATTGGTAGTGCGCGCTATGGCGTGCGCCCTGCGCTCTGTGGCATGCGTCCTGCGCTCTGTTGCTTGCGTCCTGTGGTCTACGGCGTGCGTTTCGTGCTTTGTGGCCTGTGCCCTGTGCTTGGTGCTATGCGTCCTGCGCTTTAAGGCGTGCGTCTGTGCTCTTTGACGTGCATACTGTGCTCTGTGGCGTGCGTCCTGCGCTCTGTGGCGTGCATCCTGCGCTCTGTGGCGTGCATCCTGTGCTCTGTGGTGGTACCCAGCCATCTGCGCGGCTCAGAAGCCGGTACGATAGCGCGGCGGCCGCCGGCGCGTCATGCATTCCACCGGACCGGTCGAGGAGCCTCCGCTGTGGGTGCCTCAGCGCGGGTCGGACAGCCCGAGCCCCGCGTCAAGCCGCGCCGCGTCGGGCGGTCCCGGCGGTCCCCGACAGGCCCCCGGCCCGGCCGCTGCCGAGAGCGGCAGTCAGTGGGAGCGGCCTCACATGGCCGGCCGTGACATGACGACCCGGCGCGGCGGCCATGACTCACAGCGCCAGCTGATTGCGCGGCGAGCGTGGCGCGCCCGCCTGAGTCAACCGGCGCGTGCAGGGGCGGCTGCAGGCACGCGCGGCCTGCGGCAGCTCAGCGTCGGGTTCGGCGGCGCTCGGCTCTGACGGCTAGTGGGTCGGCCATCTCCCGCGCCGCAGCGGAGGCACGCCCAGCATTCTAGGAGAGCGAGCACGTAAAACGAGACCGGCGCGAGCTGTTTGTTCTGGGCTTGCATAAATCAGCGGTACGCGGCGGCGTCCGAAAGTGCTCCTTTAAGCCCCGCGTCGTGCGACGCCTGTGAAGCGGGTCGGGCGGATTCGGGGTTAGGTGCGGTGGTGACGGTCGGCGCCGCGCGGAGGGGGCGACGCTGTCGAACGCGGTCGCCCCTGTCTCAGATAAGATACGTGCAGGTGTTGCTCCCACGCCCGGCGATGGCGTCGCCGCTTTGTGCCGTGATGCCGATACAGCGAACCCGAGGATTGCGGTCGCGGCCCGAGACGACCCCAGTCCGGCAGAAGTGGAGTGCACATCCTGGCACGTTCCGCTTGGCTCGCTCGATGTGAACTGTAGAGCCGGTTAGCGTGGTCGGCCGCCGCACGCGGGCGTGATGGCGCGGGGGCGGGGTTCCGCACGGCCGGGTTTTGTCGTGGCCCTGGCCAGGGGTGAGGATGCGTAAGGGAGATCCCTGCTGGTTCGTGACGTCACGGCTGACGTCAGCTGTTGGTTGATCGGTCAGAATGGGCCTCTGTGATGTCTTCTCCCTCCATTGGGTCCACGTAGTCAGTGGTGGTTGATGCATTACGATGCATTCTTATAAAACAAACGACCGTTTTATCGTAGATCTCTCGACACGAGAACGACCGTCGCTACACTCGTTGAGATATCGGCCACATTGTCAGGGAAAATGCGGATATGATAGCGATGTTTGATCACAGTCAGCCTTAATCTAACAAAGATTCCTGTTTATATGCTTGTGTTGCTGCGCTTTTTGTGAGTACGCCCCATGCTTGTCGCGAGTACTAACGTCAGGCAACAACCTATGCGGGGTGTGACTGGCAGTGTTTGTGACCCATTCCTGAAGACACTGAGGAGGACGACAGCATGCCTGTTTGCTTGGCCATGCGTTCCGTCCCAAAGCGTGTAGCATTCCCAGAAACCCTCCTTCCTCCCGTCGCGAGGTCTCCTTCCGTCTGGTCATCAGGGGGGGGGGGGGGGCTGGCTAATGCGTCTAACAATAGCCCACAATGCCGACGCCCGTGGACGGCGGGCGCTGTCTGGGCGGTAACAGCCGTGCGTCCGGTGCCGTGCGCCATCTGGGTGGTACCAGCCGTGTGTCCCGTGCCGTGCGCTGTCTGGGTGGTAACAGCCGTGGTTCCCGGGCCGTGCGCCGGCATTGTGCAGGCGCCGCCGCCTGGACCGCCTGGCCATTGTCCGGCCGGCGGCACGGCCGTGCCAAATGAGTGGCTGCTGCACGTGCCAGCCGGACCTGCAGGTGGCACCGCGAGCTGGCTGAGGCGCCGCCACCAGGCCGTACCGCCTGTAGTGCTGCGAGCCGGCTAGCTAGAGGCAGCAGACCACACCACCTGTGGGGCTGCAAGGCGGCCAGCTAGGGGTGGCAAACCGTACCGCGTGTGGGGCTGCGAAGCAGCTAGCTAGCGCCTGTTCAGGGGCGACTCAGGGGCGGCGGCCGGAGATGAGGCGTGTTCAGGGGTGGATCAGGTACGGCGGCCGGAGATGAGGCGTGTTCAGAGGTGGATCAGGTACGGCGGCCGGAGATGGGGCGTGTTCAGGGGTGGATCAGGTGCGGCGGCCGGAGATGGGGCGTGTTCAGGGGCGGACCAGGGGCGGCGGCCGCAGATGGGGCGTGTTCAGGGGTGGATCAGGTACGGCGGCCGGGGATGGGGCGTGTTCAGGGGCGGACTAGGGGCGGCGGCCGCAGATGGGGCGTGTTCATGGGTGGATCAGGTACGGCGGCCGCAGATGAGGCGTGTTCAGGGGTGGATCAGGTACGGCGGCCGGAGATGGGGCGTGTTCAGGGGCGGACCAGGGGCGGCGGCCGCAGATGGGGCGTGTTCAGGGGTGGATCAGGTACGGCGGCCGGGGATGAGGCGTGTTCAGGGGTGAATCAGGTGCGGCGGCCGCAGATGAGGCGTGTTCAGGGGTGGATCAGGTGCGGCGGCCGCAGATGAGGCGTGTTCAGGGGTGGATCAGGTACGGCGGCCGCAGATGAGGCGTGTTCAGGGGTGGATCAGGTGCGGCGGCCGGAGATGGGGCGTGTTCAGGGGTGGATCAGGTGCGGCGGCCGGAGATGAGGCGTGTTCAGGGGCGGACCAGGGGCGGCGGCCGCAGATGGGGCGTGTTCAGGGGTGGATCAGGTGCGGCGGCCGCAGATGGGGCGTGTTCAGGGGTGGATCAGGTGCGGCGGCCGGAACGCAGCCGTCCCATTAGGGCTGGCTGGCTTGGTCCAGCCCTACTTTTTGGAGGAGCGGAACAATGAAAAGGAAAGGTCGTGACAGTTTGTTTGCCATTAGAAGTATGCAACGGTGACTTTGGGTCGGTGTTATTGAAATGCAACAATTAAAGGAACCTTATTAAGTGAAAGGATTCGAAGGAAGGGAATAGAGAGGGTCAGATCATTCCGTCATCATGAAATATATATCTAGAGATAAACAGTTGCTCTTTTTGAGTTTCGTCAGTCCACGCCAGAATGATTTTGCCGCGTATTGACTTGTTACGTATGTTGCGCGCTGAGCTACAGCTGTCGCGGACCAGCCCCGGCGTCAGATGTGTATGTTATGACCTGTGGTGACCTGGGGTGGTAAACTATCTGATGGTGACCAGGCATGGCTCCAGCCGCCACCGGCCCAGCCGTGCGCACGGGCGTGTGCCTGGCAATGGCTTGACCTGCGCTGACCCGACATCTCTTCCAGCCGCCGCGCGCGCACGCGGGCTGGCAGTCGTTGTCGGCGCTGGACTTCCAGCCGGCCTGCCCGCAGCCAGCCCGCTACGTGGGCATCAAGCACGGCATCAGGGAGGTGGACGAGGACTGCCTCTACCTCAACGTCTTCACGCCCAGTGTGAGTCCTGCCGGCCGCGCCGGTCCCTGCCGTGACGCCACCGCCGGGCGCCGGCCGTCCGTTCGGGCTGCGCGGCATTCATTGTCGGCGTGCGGAGACCGTACTGTCGCCGGGTCGGCCTTTCCGCTCGGCGAGCTAGAGAGTCAGTCGCACTGGATGCCACAGTATTTGCGAAGCTGTGGAATGCCTAGGACTGTCTCGACAGGCGGCGGCTCTTCGCTGAAGCGAGGCGCGATGGTGTCCCATTGTCAGGCGAGCTGTGTCAGGCGTCGTCAGGTGGGCACCTGAGAGGTTTGGTCAGTGGACAAGCTCCGACCACGGCCGAGTCGCTGTTCCATATGCGGTGGTAGGCCTGAAGAATTTACTCACATGGTAGGCATTTCAAAATAAAGTAATGGATTGGCGTATAATGTATATAAATACATTGCATATCATAGAGCAATGGATAGTTTCGTGATGTGGATTTTGGGTAGTGGATTCCAGGATTTTGGTACCAAGTTTCATCGCTGAAATTTTTTTTGGGGGGAGAGGGTCTGGACGCGTTTTATATTTTGTAATGAAAGACCCCATGGACTAAAGTACTGGTCATATGTTTGTCAAATTTTCCCAGGACGTATGGCCAGTTACACAATTTTGTCACTTATTTTGTTTAATTGACTTACCCGAGTTGGGTTGCGATACATGCGTGCTGGCACATGTAACTGGTCTTGTTTCACATCCGAAGTTCACGAGGTTGAGTTTCATTGTTGTTGATTGGAGTTTTAGGGCGCATCGACTACTGTGGTCATTTTGCGCCTGTAACAGCTAAATAGTTGCCTACGGCGGTAAATGACTAAAAAATATATATTAGAGGTTGAGCTTCACAAGCTACCCGAGGCAAAACATGTCACCGGATGGGAGACAGATTTCAAGTGCGCAAAATCAGGTAAAAGTACGGCGCTAGCCAAGGTTTTGTTGCGTCCTTTCAGGATTAAGGTGCCTTCTGGCACGTTGAACTGGAGTTATGATTTTGGTAGTGTTGCTGCGTTTCGTAATATTGAGGGCTGTGCCGAAGGATCCTCTGGGATCCGTCATATGTCTTAAAATGTTTTCAATTGATTCCCCGGGTACGTATCTGCTAACGATCTCAGAAAGTGTCCCAACGATGCTGTGAGGTCTACGTAGATTTTGTCAAAAGATCAGCGGATCTGGGATTCTGTTTTAGAATAGCACAGGCCTGAACTGAACAGGAGTTTTTTAATACATATATATATATATATATATATTATATATATATATATATATATATATATATATATATATATATATATTATGCCCCTGCCGCCCAACGCGCGTCGATCTCAGCGGTACCGTTTGGACCTTGCTTTCGTACACTGTTAAACTGAAAGGAGTGCGATCTTTGTGGCAGCTTATTTGTTTTCGAGTATTGTTGGTGTGTGATGACTGCTTGTGGCTGTGTAATATTCTTATTTCTACGTTTGGTGTGAACTGATGACTTGTATTTCACGTGCAGACGTATTCTTCCAAGAGCACGAGAGCTGTGGGACGATGGCAGTGACCCCTCAACTGTGGTAACACATGTGTTTCGCCCTCCCCACTCCCCCTCAACTGTGCAGAAAGTTTGTTTCATTAGCCGTGTGTGCTATGCATGGAAAAAGGGGCTAAGGGAGCGCTGCAATATCTTTGTGTGCGTTGTGGTAAAAGGGCTCATAGGGCGCTTTAATGGGGGTGCCGATAGTGTAGTGGTTAACGCGTCTGCGTTAACCACTGCGCGTCTGGGAATCCAGAGGTACGGGGTTTGATTCCTCGCGGTGCCCGCCCTTCCTGCCAGGGTGAGAGGCAGGCGACGCCATATACCCCCAGCAGTTGAGTGCGTCGTAGAGCCCCAATGGCATGACATGACATGACAGGGTACTATTACACCCCCATGTGCGATGCATGGTAAGGGGGCTCAGAGAGTGCTATAATAACCCGGGTGCGGTGCATGGTAAAGGGGTCCAGAGTGCTCTTTGGTACCCCTGTGTGCCCTGTGTGCGGTAAATGGTAAAACAAGGGGTTTGGAGAGCGTTATAATACCCCTGTGTGCGGTTTGCGCTAAAACAAGAGATTCAAAGGGGTCTTTAATGCCCCTGTGTGCGGCGCCTGGTAAAACCAGCGGTTCAGAGGATGCTGTAATACCTCTGGTTGCGGTGTATGGTAAAGGGGTTCAGCGAGGGTTATTATATCTCTCTACTCGTGGTAAGGCGACGCTGTCGAGCCTGACTGGATCAGTTGCAAAATCAAGCCACCGACTAGCGGTGGGTTTATATGGGATGATCAAATTGATAGAATGCGTCGTCACGGGTATTCGCTATTCCCAGCTTGTACCTCAGCTTCCGGCTGAAGGGTTCCGATAGCGTCTTTTCTCCCTTACAAGCATGTGTGAGTCACTACCGCAGCCGAGACTGATGCTGGGCGTCTGTATGCCTGCATCAAGGCGACCCGTCGAGACCGGTTTCCGATGAATCATCCCCGGCTACTATGACGTCACTCCTGACGAAGCGCCCTCATGGCTGGCAGGTGTCCAGCAACGTGAGGGAGAAGTTCGCCGTGATGTTCTACATCCACGGCGGCGAGTTCACGCACGGCGCGTCCAACCTGTTCCCGGCGCACCTGCTGTCCGCCTGGGGCGAGGTGGTGGTGGTCACCTTCAACTACCGTCTCGGCGCGCTAGGTGCGTGCGCGCCGGCCGGTCGGCAGCCTCCGGCTGCAGCGCCGGCCACGCCTTTAACAGCGGCGGTGAATGGATCCAGACATGTCAGAATCGTGGCTTTTGTTTGTTTGGCACTCTCGAACCATTGCTCTACCAGGCCGTTGATATTTCTCGGCTGCATGCCCTTTGCCTTTCACGGGCCATTGATCACGACGCAAACGCTCTTGGCCTGCCGTTAGCGGTCGCCAGGAGGCGCAGCCTTGCTGGACGACCTTGTCTCGGCACCACCCGTGCCTCCATCAGAGCGCCCACACCGCATTATGAATGACTTCCCCACGGGCGTGACGTACTCGGCTCTGGTGTTGTTTCCATCACCAAATAATCCCAGCTGCCTGGCCGCGCTGGCTCACGCCCCGACATGACAATGGTGAGGTGATGGCGCCATTGTGCTGTCACGCACCGCCAGTGAGGAATATATGGCCGGACAGGGGCCGAAGAAGCGCCGGCCAGGAATGTGATGAATGGTATGGGAGACTGCGAGGTGGACAAAGAGCGGTGGATGCACGTTCGATGACGTGATAGAACTTTCGCAAAATGTTCCGCACGCCATACGGGGATCGATCCTGCGTCATAACGCACTAAAACATGTTTTGAATTGATACAGTTTTTTCACTTTCCACTTTCCCCGTAATCTTGAGGCTAAAAGTGATTCTTGCGTGGAGAGAAAGTGACGCCTCCGAACCCGACACCGCAGTTGTGCATCCGATAGCTGACGGGCACCGTGACCTTGCAGGCTTCCTGAGCACCGCCGATGAGTACTCCCCGGGCAACTACGGCATGCTGGACCAGGCGATGGCGCTGCGCTGGGTGTACGAGAACGTGCACTACTTCAACGGCGACCGCCAGCGCATTACCGTGTTCGGACCGGGCGCGGGCGCCGCCAGCGCCGGCCTGCTGGCCGTGTCGCCCAAGACGGCGCACATGGTGCACCAGCTGATCGGAGAGGTCAGGCTCGGTGGGGAGCTGAGTGCCGCGCGTCGTGAGGAGAGAGGAGGTGCGGGCGGTGTTAGGGCAGGCGGAAGGTGTTGTATATATATATATATATATATATATATATATATATATATATAGATATATATATACGGGGGTGGGGGTGTATATGTGTGTGTGTGCGTGTTTGTTTTTGCCGAAATCCTGCCCTGGTTATCGTGATCATCGCTTCAGAGCGACCCAACGCTGTCTCCACGCTCGTTTCTTTAGCGGTGTTACTGTGTTCCCAGAGTGGCTCGGCGCTGGCCGAGTGGGCCGCCATCTACGACGAGTACCGCGTGCAGAACACGTCTCGCATATTCGGAGACAAGATCGGCTGCATCTCCGACAGCAGCTACAAGCTGCTCAATTGCCTTAACAAGGGTCGCAGCGCTATAGAGATCGGCAACGTCGAGTTCAAGGTACCGGGCCTTGCACACAATGGTGCTGGTGGCTAAGGCGGAAGTACAACCGATCTTGACGTTGGATACGCATCGCCCGCTGGCTCAAGCTAGTCCAGGCGTTATTTCAGTCCTGTGTGTTCCCTTTGTTGGGTTGTTTTTTTTGTAACCTATGTAGTTTGGTAAGAGTTGGCAGAATGTATGTCCTGAACCAATACCAGCTTTTTGTGTGGCATGAAGAACGCCTACTTCCCTCTCGCAGTCGACTCCTGTTTTGAGCCCCGTACTGATTCGCACGCACCCTCCATTGCACCCGGGACGTCCCCTCCGGGCCCTTCTCCCGCCCCGCCACGGTCTGACGGCGACCGCCGCGCGCCGCCAGCCGGACGTCGGCACGTTCCCGTGGGCGCCGTTCGTCGAGACGAACGTGACTTTCCCGGGCAACGACTGGTACGAGGAGTGGCACCAGGAGGACTGGCGCTTCCTGCCCGACTTCCCGGAGCGGCTCTTCAGGCGCCGCGAGTTCAGACAGGGCCTGAGCGTGCTGACCGGCGCCAACCGGGACGAGGCCGCCTTCTTCGTCTGTGAGTGAACTCCAGACGACCTTGTCGGGCGCCTGTCGTGTTCAGTTTTACTCTGGATGACTTTGCCGGGCGCCTGTGAGGTCAGTTTCATTTCGGACGACCTCGTCGGGCTCCTGTCGTGTTCTGTTGCACTCCTGCCGACCTCGTCGGGCTCCTGTCGTGTTCTGTTTCACCCCTGCCGACCTCGTCGGGCTCCTGTCGTGACCAGTTTTACTTCTGACCAGTTTTACTCCTGTTGTGTGGCGCCTGTCATCCTCTGGTTTACTTCTGCCGACCTCGTCGGACGCCCGTCGTGTTCTGTTTTATTCCTGACAACCTTGTCGGGCGCCTGCCGCGTTCATTTTCCCTCCGGACGACCTCGTCGGGCGCCTGTCGTGTTCAGTTTCGGCACGGGGCGAGCTGTGGACGAGGCAGTGTTCTTATTCTTCGTGTGTGTAGATGCATGCGTTCCGCCTCAGTTTCCTTCAGGTTCGGGGCCCTGTTGTGGCGTGCGGTTGGGGTGTACGTCCTTTGACTGCCCAATGGCATCATGCACAGACTCTCTTGACGGTGTTCGTATGTCGCGAGACTGCGCACGGACGGTCTGTTCGGTGGAGCGCCTGTCGGCATGGTGGCCGTGTTGGCATGTCGCCGGCTGACGACATGGTATCCCCGTGTTTGTAGACCCCTGATGGCGGTGTCCGCTGAGTACCTCCTAAAAGGACGTCCGTTGGCTGCCCCCCCCCCTTCCCGTCTAGTGGCCCGTGCCAGTGATGTTCAGGGAGCGACTCTCAGCAGGATTTCTTCTGAGTGTCTATGACAGGGCGTCCTATGGCTGTCACGTTCAGGGTGTTCGAGTGTCGCTGACAGGATGTCCTACGACTGTCACGCACAGGATGTCTGAGTGTCCCTGACGGGGTGTCTGAGTGTCCCTGACAAAATGTCTGAGTGTCCCTGACAGGATGTCTGAGTGTCCCTGACAGGGTGCCTGAGTGTCCCTGACAAGGTGCCTGAGTGTCCCTGACAGGGTGTCGGCGTGTCGGCAGACGGCAACCGCTCGCTGGCGCCGGACTTTGTCGTCACGCAGCGCATGCTGGACGACAAGATCCACGAGTGGGTCAAACAGTACAACTACACGCTGAACCCGGACGGCGTGTACGACGCCATCCGGTACATGTACACGTACTGGCCGGACCCGCACAACCGCACCTGGATCCGCGAGATGTACATCGATGTAAGTGCTGCGGTACACGGCGGGTGGGCACCACGCGCGCTCCTCGCCGCGAGCGAGCCGCGCCGCGTTTGGCAGCGGTGGGGGCTGGTTTGTTGGGTAGTGCCTCGCCTCTGCTGTTGGCCGGTAGGTGAGGCCGTTCGCCGTTCAAATGTTCTGTCCGCCTCGTTATCCACGTCATCATCACCATCCGCTTCCGCGAGCGAGACGACCCGTGCAGTCATTGGGATTGAGTGGCGGAGATACGGCAGATTCAGCCCGGGCTGAGGTCAAAAGTCCACATTCATGAATGGCGGCTAGTTAACAGTTGGACGTGGCGGGCGCGTCACTGCCTACAATTTTACAGTGGGCCATCAATCAGGCCGTGATTGGTCGGAGACAAGACGCTCATCATCGCGACCAGGCGTGACGTCAGTTCAGTTTGAGACCTCCGTCTAGAGTTGCTGTCGTCAGCCGGGGCGGGGCGCCCGTCCAAACTGTCCGCGTCCAAACTCGCCACCATCGCTCCGCTCGACCGCCCGCGCCCGTCATTGCCTGTTCCAGTTCCTGTCGGACGCGCTGTACAAGGCGCCCGTGGACAGCATGGTGAAGCTCATGGTGGAGCTGGGGGTGACGACGTACCAGTACGTGCTGAACACGACCGTGGAGGCGCTGAAGGCGCCGCTGTGGCGCGAGGTGCCCCATGACCTCGAGTACTACTTCCTGACGGGCGCGCCGTTCATGGACCCCGGTGAGTAGCAGCCGTGGCCTGGCGTTGGCCCGTGGCATGGAAGTCATCTGGACGAATGTCGCGCCGTTTGCGGAGTGTATAACTGCTGCCCAGTGGGTCACTCAGGGATGTGGAAGACGCTTAGGCGGGCTTGTCACGCCCAACGAAAGGAAGGAACATGCTATATTTTATTTAAGCCACTAAGGCGTAATATAAATGTTGGTATTTTTAGAGGTGAAATAGGCCGTAAAAGTGCCCCCCTCCCGCTTTGACCGTCCCTGGTGGAGACGTCCGTTAAGGCTAAATTAATCAGTGGGGGTTGTGTAAGTCACGCGAGCTTAGTCACGCGTTTCATAACTTTACGCATCTGGTCGTCTTTCAGAGTTCTTTGCGGAGGACATCAGAATCGGTCGGCAGATTTGGACGGAGGGTGATCGCAACATGAGCCAACTATTCATGGAAACGTTCTCCAACTTCGCCAAATACGGGTGAGAACCACGTCGACTGTTCGCTCACGTACCTTAAGCCCAAGCCGGTCAGAGCTAGATGCATGCGGTCTGGCGGGACGATGGCAACACCGCGCGCCGCGCTGTCTCGTGGACGGGGCGAACTGCAAGCGGCGCGATCGATGGCCCCGTTTACAGGCGTCATCGGCGCTGTTTCGCCCCCAGGCGACCGACGCCGCGGCAGATCTTCGACTTGGTCAACTGGCAGCCGGCGCTGGCTGGCGACCTGCGCTACCTGAGCATCAACAACACCTTCAACAGCACCATCTTCTCCAACTACCGGCAGACAGAGCTGTCGTTCTGGAGCCAGTACCTGCCGACGGTGGTGGGCCACCTGGTGCCCACCTACCGGCCCTCCACTGAGGTGAGATTCGCGCTCAACCATCCACGGTCGCCCCGAAGCGGTGGCTGGCTGCATTGTGCTTCGGAACGCCCTCCTTGAAGGCCACGGACTCTGAAAGTGTATGGACTGCCCAGCTGCCTTTTGCCTGGTTAAATGGGCTTTAACTGAAAGTTGTGTCGCGATTTGTAGTCGATGCAAACGACGGCTTTGATGCGATGAATTCTGAAACTGCCGTTTATGCTCGACATTGGTGTGTGCGGCCAAGTGCCTGGAGTTTAAGACTGGACTCATATCGCAAAGTCATTGGATAGTAGTAACGCCATTCTTGCGATCGGTGTCAGCACGCTTGGCCGATGCTTGCGGTTGTTTTCGTGACGTGTGTTTGTTCCAGGCTGCAGCCAGCTCATTCACTTCTACGTGTTACGCTGGGTAATGTTTGCAGTTTTGGTGGGAGCCGCGCGAGCCGCTGCAGATCGCCTTCTGGTCTGTGACGTCACTGGCGTTCCTTCTGCTCGTCATCGTCGGAATCTGCTGCTGCCTATGGCAGGGTGCCAAAAAGTATGATCTCAGAGAACTGCATTGAATCTTGACGAAAGAATAATTTGTACGCAGCGCGTGCTCACGCATGACGTAATTTAGTGATAACGTATGTGTAATTTTAACACAGCACGCGCTCCCGTAACGTTGATGCGCCAACAAATCGTCGACAGGCCATTGAAAGGAACCTTGATAAAAGAACTCCCTATCGCATTTTGGAAACCAATGCATTTGAGGAGACCGGTCGCTGTGAATAAGTTCGATTTAACGTACGTAAACCATGGGGAAACGATAATTGACAAGGATTAAACGATTATGGGTATGCACATCCATTTTTGTCCCCGTTCTTCTAGCACCATTCTCTACGCCTTGCAGAAAAACCGACCAGTTCTACGAAGAGTCCTTCATGGAGGACCACTTCGAGGTACGCGAGAACAGCCACTTCGCGGCAAAGCCGAGCAAGCCTCCGTCGGTTGCATCGCTGAGCGGCGGCGCCGCGGCGGCTGAGCCGGCGCGCGCCGACGCGCGCTCGGTGGCGCGCGACATCCAGATGGACCGGCGGCGCCGCTCGGACTCTGGCCGACAGGTGACCGGCTCTGTGCAGCAGGAGGCCTGCCGGGAGCCGCTGGTGCGCGAGCCGCCGCCGCGCGTGCCCAGCAGCCAGGCGCAGAGCGTCACCGAGTTGGAGCCGTTGCGCGGGTCGGCGCCGTCCGAGCCGTTCACGCGCGAGCCGAGCCGTGCGTCGGCGCGCTCGCGCGACACGGTCCAGTACGCCACGCTGGAGCACACGGCGCCGCTGGCGGCGGTAGCGCCGCGGGCGGCGCCGGCCGGCGAGCAAGCGACCCGGCTCGACCCGCGTCGCTCGGGCGGCGTGGCCGTGCTGCCGGCGGCCGGCGGCGAGCGCGTGCAGCCGCAGAGACAGCCCCGGCCCAAGGAGGCGTTCGCGCCAGTGCCGCACGCCAAGTCGATCCCCAACATGGTGGAGTACGAGGAACGGCCGCCGACGCGTATCCGGCCCAAGTCAACCGAGGCGCTGGACCGCGACGACGAGTCGACCTCGTCGCGGCCCGGCACGCCCAAGGTGCCGCACTTCCAGTTCGTCGAGCCGTACGATGTGGTGCAGCTGCCCAACGACTACCAGTACAACTCGAACCCGAACCTGGCGGCGCCCGAGTGGCGGCCGCCGCGTGCGGGCGCGGCGCCGCCGCCGCGGCCCGTCGGCTACACGCCGCCCGCGGTGCGCCCGGTGGCGCCCGACCGACCCCCGGCGCCGGCGCCGCGCGCCGCGCCGGCTGCCGCGCCGGCGCGCCTGCCTCCCCAGCACCAGGCGCAGATTGTGGTGCAGCTGGCGTCGCGCTCGCAAGAGCCCAGCCGCGACCCGACGCCCACGTTCCGGCAGAACGGGCAGCCGCTGCCGGCAGAGACGCCGCCGCCGGCGTACCGGCGCGCCGCGCCTGCCGCCGCCTCGCCGGACGGCGAGAACAAGCGCGTGTTCGGCCTGCTGCAGGAGAACGTGCGGCCGGCGGCGCCGGGCGACGGCTGGCGCGCCGGCGTCGACACGCCCACCACGTCTGGCGGCTACCCGCCCACCATGTCGGAGCGCAGCCTGCCGGAGACGCCGACGGCCTCGACCGACCGGAGCTTCGACAGCGGCGCCGAGCTGGACTACCGCGGCCAGCCGCGCCGTTACGTGCCGCCCGAGACGGCACTGTGAGGCGCCGGCCCGCCGGCGGCGCGAGGCCGCTGCGTCGGGCACGTTCAGAGCCACTGCGTCGGGCAAGTTCGGAACCCGTGAAGTGCATGTGACAGTGTTGCGAGGCGTCGTCTGACAACGCTCCGAGTCGCAGTCATGCCACGTTCTGAGCTACAGTCGTGCCACGCCCTGAGCTACAGTCGTACCACGCCCTGAGCTACAGTCGTGCCACGCCCTGAGCTACTGGTCCGCAGCGGGAGGAGTCACTGCCCTGCGGTGTCGTGATTGCTTCACAGTAGTGCAGTACTGTGAGTCACTTGGTGTAGTGCTGTTAGTTACTGTTGTGTCGCCTGAGGCTACGTTCCATATGGTCAGGTGGCCCGCGGGCTGCCTGCTGGGTCCGCGTGGGACTGTTGTGTCCGCGGTGTGTCCGCGGTGTGTCCGCTGGCGGGAGAGCTTAGCGCGTCCGTAAAATGTTTTGTTTCCGTGAGTGTAGACGTGAGTTGACACTCCGGAGTTCAGCGTTACTGAGAACTGCAGACGCACGAATCACTATTGGTCATTAAGTGTTTTTGCCCTGTATTATTCGCACTAACGGTATGTTTTATATGTGGTGTGTTTTGATCCCACGATTAGGGTGTGTCGTAACTCTTAATGTCGCTGTGTTCGAGGTGTTTGTGTTACTCTTCGTGTCTCCATCGTTGAGGTGTCGAGGAGCATTTAAATCAGTCAAGTGTCCGTACAGTATGTTACAACCTTGTAATATGCCAAAGCAGCCATCATGAAGATTAGGTTTTGTGGCTCGTGGATTGGGAAATAAGTGCGTCGGATATCTAATATTTTTGATCAACGGATTTATTATATGCCACTACTTAATGTTGGACTCCTACTTATGTCTACGAGCACGAAATATCCGGCGTCCTACATCGTGTGCGTGTTATTTCCGACCCGTACCACTCCAGGATGTTGTGTTAATGCTTAAAGGCCAAATGTGCTCTTGACATATACATTCACGCTCTCATCCTGGCGTTGAAGTGCGGTTGTAAATGTACCTAGATGCATGCGATGACCAATTTAGCATGTATTTCCCATGTACTTTACACTGAGTGAATGGGATCCGTCCATAATGCCTTTACATTATGCTGCGGGGCATACCTGGGCAATGTGACATGGTTACATCATCCCGGTCATTTGATATCACCGTGCCTTTGACTATTGCTGCTATCAGGGTAATCAATTGGCATTTACTTGTCACTAACGGCCATCACGAAATGATTGCGAGGGTATTGTTAACGGTGATGCACAAGCCTATCGTGTTTCTGATCCACCAAGTGTGATGACAGGATGTAATGGAGAGATGTTAAACGTTCGAGGTGTTTATCATATTCAGTGTTAACCTGAAGGACCCAGTCAGTTTTTGAGAGGGTCACTGGATCTCTGATACGACATTCAAGTAAATGCCAAACGTCGACGGTAGCAAGGCGTACTAATTGTCATATATGTGTTTTCTATCCTTTGCACAATTTGGTTGAATGGCCCAACGATTTCTGTGTGACTTTGTCGTGAGATGTTCTGCTCAGCGCATCAATGTGCGGCAAGCGACGTCATTGTCTTCTGAGGCATTTGGGGATCCCCTTGGTGCTCCACACCAGCATTCTGGCCCGATAGTGGTTGGGGACTTTAGTCGCACTGGCTGCTTTAGCCGCGGCCCGTATTGACTATGCGGCGGAGAAAGATCGCCGCTGCCTGTTCTAACATCACGCGATGTCGAGGAAGGGATATAAGCCGCCGCTCGGCCGCACCGCCTCAGGGAGTCTTGCATGCCGACTGCCATCCAGGACTTCCCGGCCACGCGCTGCGTACCACAAGACTGTATCCGTGGACGTTGGTAAGCTTATACACGACTGATTTATTCTTGAACGCTGGCGACTGGTGTTCATTGCTGCTCCCACCTGCGGCGACATATTGCTTGGTAGTCTGTACATGAACGCGTAACGTTTATTTCCAGACATGAGTTGATGCCGCACGCGTGATCATCGTGATTATTACGTTGCTCATGTAATGACGTCATCATGAGCTTGACGTGCTACGTGTGTGCTTCAGGCCGTCTTGTGATTAAAAAAATATACGTTTCAATCAAATGACAAGCACAGGAAGTTTATAATCACAAACATTCGATTACTGTTGATTGCAAGACGAGCTTCGAGTTGATGTTTTGTTTTGCTAATGGACGGAGGTGACTGGCCCTATCCGCATCAGTAGATCCTCATGTCTCGATAAAACTAAGAACTAGGAAGACGGCAAGTGCTGTTTGTTTCGACCCCGATGATGAGCGAGGACGGGCCAGAACATACATCATTAAGCAGTGGATTGTATCTGTCCACAGCATCTGTGAGCGGTATGCTTTCTGATAGCACGCAACGGCAAACGATTTCTGAAGCAATGATTGTGAGCAGCAAAGCCGCAGACCGCAGATCATATCTTGTGCACCAAAAACATTGCAGATAAATGCCTCTCTCGCACAACTCCAGCGGTAAATTTTTCCATGAATGATGCACGCACATGGAGGAATAAGGCTTCAACACTTTCTTTGAACCTTAGGCCTAACAGTGGTAGCTTTTTTACCTCAACATGACAATGAAGTAGTAAAGAGCTGTTGTATCACTATAACAGTAAGGACGGGACAGCAGTTGTGTCCAATCGACAGGTATATTGGTGAGTCGAACTGCTCACCCTCCAGTCATACCAAGGCTCCGTTACATTGCCAAGATAGGGCTACCATATAAAGCAAATGCTATGGAGTGGGAATGACGTAAAGGCGCGACCAAGTTGTCCCGTGGGCCCTCACATTTGGAAGGCCCTGATGAGCTATGCGTGATTTAATGTTGCCGTTTGACCTTCGTGATTTTCAACCTTGTATGAATTGCTATCTTATATATCGTCACCATGCGCTTGCTCGCACGGCTGAGTATAGAACCATTTTAGAGCCATTTTAGAGCCACTCATGGAGCCATTTTCTAATCCTCACCCAACAAAAAAGGCCCTGATGGGATTTTCCGTATTAACTTTCTAGCTAATGCAGGTAGAACGAGTAAAAATGGACGGAAACGGGAAAAGGAATGTTTCACATTTAAAGACATTGCTGCAAAGATCAGATATGATTAAATAAGCTCACTTACAATTATTTGTATACTTTCAAGTGGAAAAGAGTGCTCTAAGAATATAATTTCTCCGTTTCGTAAATATACTCCCCAATACGTCATTGATTACCTCATTGTACCTTGCACGCCTTTGACTGAGAGGCAACTGACGGACGATTTATATGGAGATCATGCTCACGAACGCCAGATATTAAACTCGACAATAGCATTTGCCCTCCCCGAAACCACATAGCCAATGGAATGGCATGACTTGAATGTCACTATTACGACATCATCAATCCCAAGGTGACCTTGAAATACTCCCCTGAAAAGTATTCCTATCTTCGCGGGCGTATAGCTCAGAAACTAGAGGAGCGCATGCCCAAAGAGGGCCAGAGTTGTGCACTGCACTAAATGGCCTTCAAGATGGCTATTGCTGTTCGAAACCCCATTCAAATGTGAAAGACTTCCTTTAGCATAGTTTCAGTGCTGGCGTACCTGGAACTGCACCATTGCGGTCAAAACGAGTATGCTGCATTAAGCCATCAACTGATCACAGCATAACCAGCCGGCTAACCGTAACCAGTTTTGGAATTACGAGTAGTGCTTTCCGCGGTCCCATAACACGCGCTCGGGTGAGGGGTCAATCTGAACCCCAATGGCTATTTCCAGTATGACTGCCGAACGGCGCCAAGCTTTTCATGACTGTTGACAGTTGAAGAATGGGTGCTTTGGTACACATGAATTAGATGTAGCTTGTGAGGTCACTGACCTATAGCAGGTAAAATCTAGGCCGTGACAATTTCTAGCAATTTTCCATTTTAGCTAGCAAAAGGATTTTCCAGGAAATCGTTTAACCTCATGCGACAACGGAATCTGATGGAACCATGCATCTCTGAGATAGCTTATTAGGCAATATCACAATGGAGTTTAGAATTACAGTAACTTCCTTTAGCCTAGGGTCACGTGTGAAATTCAGACCGAGATATAAACCAACCAACCTGCTTTTGTATTCTCGGGATCCCGTTCTATGAGACACTTTGTGGTGTTCTTTTATAATTCGTTAACAACAGGGATCGCAACATACATCTTCTATGAACTTCCTAAAGGCCAGGGTAGGTCACTGATCAAAAGTGATCCAGATTAATATTTTGTTGCTTTTTTTAAAGAACATATCGCCTAGCGCTACCTTTCATGCTTATTGAAATGCCAAATGGAAGCAATGTTGTAGGATTTTGGTCGCTATGATCTTCCAAAGGTACGTAGGTCACTGACCTCAACTAAAAACCTGCAGCCTTTTGCTTACAGCAGTCATCCATGTTCTAGGCGGTTGCACGGAAAGGTATGGGGGCACTTTGGACACCAATCTAGAGCTTGACCTTGTTTGACCTGATTTGACTCGAAGGTTATAACCTAGAAACCTCCAATTTTGATACATATGGGCTCACATGTAAGTCACCTCACCCTGGGAGTTTGGGGTCTCTAGCTCTCTTATTTTTATAGATCCCCAGGGAGGTTTCAGTTTACCCCCGCTAAAGCGAACGATATTCGGTTGGTCATTGAATGCTCTTAATACAGTCTTTAAGGGACGTGTTCCACATTTATATAGCGTTTTCAACTGAAATGGCTGCCTTGAATATCTTTCCATGTTGTTCACAACTTTGCCTTTCTTTAGGCCTGAACATCTGCGGTTTCTGAGTCACAGACCCGCGAAGATGGGAAGATTATTTCGGGGAGAGTATTTTAAAGTCATAAGTCGTTAAATGACGTAATCAAACTATGACGCGCTGCTGAGCATTTTCATAAAACAGAGGATGGCGCTGTCTAGAGCAGTCTTTTCTACTTGTCGCATCATATCCGTGATGCGTACCTCAATTTCTTGTAATGTGAAACATTCCCGTTAATCAACTTTCTGGACACCTCGAACATCCTCATTAGGACCTATGGGGGAGGATGGGACACGTGGGCCCTGTGCCTTCCTGCCTGTGCGCCTGCTTAGCATGTGAATAACGATGCAACGATCCATCGTAATGTGATACAATGCAGCACGTTCGTTGTTGAAGTTGAAGTTTTTTTAAAAACAGATACTGCATAAACAG